TAGAACCAGCCTATTGGGATAAATAGTTCCTCCTTAAATTTTTGAATTTAATTTTAATTAGTTAAAAATTTTATTTTTATTAATTACTTAAAAATTTATTCCTCTCCCTCAAATTCTCCATGATTAAAAGAAAAAAAAGAAAAAATATAATATAGTAGTATTCCCACTTTCGGTGCAAAAAGTGGTTTGTTTCACTCTCTTTAAAATTTTTTTTAAATTTTTATTTTTTATAATGCTCTCCTCTGACTGTTTCGCTTTTCATTTTTCTTGCATTGGGGACCTGGATGATGACAAATCGTCAGCGTCCTCTCATCTCTTTTTTGTTTTTTTAAAGTTAGAAGAGAATAGTTTTTTTAGTGGATTTAACAGGTCACGTGGATTTTTTTTTTGACGGAATAATAAAAAAAAATCTTATCAAATTAAAGGTTTAGAGTGCAAAAAATTATTTAAAGACAAAAGGGTACACGTTATCAAAATAAGAGATACCTATACAAAAGAGGAAAAAAAAAATTAAGAACGAAAAAAGTGCATCAAGGCAAAGTTAAGGACCCAAATTTAACGTTAGACCCTTTTAGTTTTGGTGGCTGTGTTCACAACGAAGATGCAATTTATAACTCATTCATATCATGAATAATTTTATTCTATTTTCTTTGTTTCTTAACTGCGGAAGTGAAATAAAATTATAGACAAAACTGATAAAAACTCTATTCTATTATAAAATAAAAAGAAAAGTAGCAAGGTAACAATAAAATTTTTTTTTTCTTATTTCACCGTATATTCTTTTATATATAAATCATACAAATTTGTAAGTCTATATATATAGGTTAAGGGACATATGGTGGTTACATTAGTCGTTGAATAGGACTAAATGAGAGAATGAATGACACCTTAATGGACTCTTGAATGGCCTTTAGTGAGATCATGAATGGCTCTTTAATGGTAAGGAGTTACAACATAGAAGAAGGTGAATGTGAAGGTGAAAGGTGAAGCATCTACCAATAGGAAAATTCACAATACTACCCCTTGGATGCTCACATTTTTGTGTTATACGCTTTTAAATTGTCTCATTAAAAACTTTGCTAGGAAAAATCTAGTGGAATAAAAATCATAGTGAAGGGAAAAAGAGTGCAGTATGTATAATACTTGTCCTTCAACGAAGCTCTCTAAGGGTTTGCATGCTTATCTTGTGTAGAAGTTGTTCAAAAACTTTGGTAGACAATGACTTTGTGAAAAGATCTGCAAGATTCTCATTTGAATTGATTTGCTGAACATCTATTTCACTAACATTTTCAAGTTTATGTGCAAAAAAAACTTTGGAGAAATATTTTTGGTTCTATCTCATTTGATGAATTCTTCCTTTATTTGTGCAATGCATGTAGTATTGTCCTCATATGATAAAGTTGGATTCCCTATAATTGTTTTAAGACTACATGTTTCTTGAACATGCTAGATCAAAAATCTTAATCATACACATTCTCGACTTGCCTCATATAGGGCAATCAATTCTGAACGATTTGAGGATGTGGCTACAACAATTTGTTTGGTTGAACGCCAAGAAATTGTGATACCACCATATGTGAATAAAGACTCAGTTTGTGATCTCCCTTTATGTGGATATGACAAATAACCAGCATCTGCATGTTCAATTAACTCTGGTTTTGAGTGTTTTGAGTAAAACAATCCCATGTCTTTTGTTCCTAGCAAATAATGAAATAAATGTTTAATACCATTCCAGTGCCTTTGTGTTGGTGTATAATTATATCTTACTAACAAATTCATAGAAAACACAATATCAGGTTGCATATTGTTAGCTAAGCACAGTAATGCACATATGGCACTTAAATATAATACTTTAGGACCAAGGATTTCTTTGTTATATTCACAAGGTTGAAAAGGATCTTTCTTTATATCAAGGGATCAAACAACCATTAGAGAGCTTAAAGGATGAGATTTGTTCATATTAAATCTCTTCAATATCTTTTTAACATAGTTTAGTTGATGGACAAGAATTCCATTTGATAAGTACTTGATTTGTTGATCGAGACAGAATTTTGTTATTTTTAGATCTTTCATCTTGAATTCTTTCTTTAAACATTCAACTGCTTTTTCAAGCTCTTCAGGTGTCTCAATGATATTTATATCATTAACATATACAGTAATAATAGCAAAACCAAGTTTTGACCTCTTGGTAAAGACACATGTTCCAATAGAGCTCTGATGCCCAACCCTTGTTTTATTTTTTTTTTCTGACTTCAGATGAATTAAAAATGTCTCTCCCTGTTGATGATGTTTATATAACCGCTGCATTCCATTCATCTAAAGAGAATCAAACCTACTTATTCATGAAGCCAGTTTTTATTTATGAAATACTTTCCGGGTACGACAGACAATTGCACCTTGTTTGGGCCTCTTTAATATGGAGTAAGCTGTGCTTTTGCATGTCATCATGTTAGCCAAGCCTTTGTCTTTGTTATGGATACCTCTGTGCACAGAGACTATAAATGCAAGAATATAGTGTCTACGGACCAGTTTGTTCGTATTTTGAAATTTGTTTCAAAGGTACAGAATTTTTTATTTATCTTGTTGGTTCCTACAAGTAAGATGTCTGCACTTTGACATCTTGTTTCTTGCTGCACTTTGTTTCTGGTATTATGTTTACCTTCTTGGAAGTAAGGTGTCTGTACTGAGTTGTTCTCTTTGAGTGTTATTCGATCGGGTTTAAGTGACTTAGAACATATTTCAAAATTAATGTTTGTTTTCATTTTTTTGTTTTGTATATGTGATTATAAACTACATAAAAGGAAATAGTTCTCCCTTTTTCTCATATCTCTTTTTCTCATATCCCTTTCCATCCAACTCAAGATTTAAACTTAAAATTTTTAATTTAGAATCTTATACTTTTAATTAGTGCAGTCATCCTTGAAGGTTAATATTTGTTTCTTAGTTTTTCATAATCATAGGTTTTTTTTTTTTACTCAAAATTTGTCTAAATGAATTATCTCTTGATTTTAGTTATCAATTTTATGAAAAAAATGCCATCATTTATGTATGTCTATTTTTTAGGGTAATATAAGTAAAAATGTAAATTATTCCTATATTTTTTATTTTAAAAAAAAAGTAAAAAAAAAACTTATTATTTTAATATAGAGGGGGTATAATTATTGTGTTTCTTAATAAGAAATTGATTTATAGAAGCTTGTTTTGGTTTAGAGCATGTGCAATGGACAAATATAAAAAAATTTGCTTTAGTGTTACGTCATCACAATTAAATTTATTTTATATAAATTCACATTTTAAATATTTAAATATAAAAAAAATACTTAATACAATGTCTATTCTTCAATATGTATATCTAAATAAAACTTTTTAAAATTTGTAGTAGTGTTATTTTATTTAATTCACTTTTAAATAAACAAAGTTGAGTTAAAAACTTTTGAAAAATTTACCAGCCGTTCGAGCAATGGCATAAAAGAAAATTATTGCACTAGCTGATAGCATGTCAGGCAATGCACATTTCATAAACTAAAGAACACTTTGAAAGGAAAAAAAAAAAAAGGAAAAGAATAAAAGTTTTCTATGGAGAATAAAGTTTTCTTGAAGAACACACTATAATGAATTAAAATTTTGCCTTTATTTATTTATTATTTTTTTAAAAGAACAATGTGAAGGAACTCTATTGTACGTGCTTTTAATGTTTTATTTTTCATTACTGCTGCCAAGTTGGAAACCTGCCTCTGTTTAACTTTGTATGAGGTTTTGGGCTGATTCACGACATTGGGTCCTGATATGGTGGGTCTAAAGGTCCTAAGTATTGGGCTTGGCACTGAATTACCAATGCTATTCGTTGAGATGTAGACGTCGAGTTCTTAAACCATGAGAGCTTCTCTGTTCTTAATTCCACTTTATCTTTCATGATACAATTTTTTAATAAATAATTTTTTTTTATAAAAAAAGTCTTATCATAAATTTTTTTATTTAAAATTCATTTGATAATTTTTTATTAATTTTTTATTAAAACATAAAAAATTAATAACATAATAAAATTCTAATAAAATTTTATTACAAAACTCATTAATTTTTTTTGTGTAATTTTTTGTAACTTTCTAAACAACTTTTCAATAAAAACCTTTTAAATAAAATTAATTTCTAACCAAATAGGCCTTATGGTAATTCCTAGTGTTCATACTAAATAATTCAAATAAAACATTTTGTTTGTAAAATGCATTTTTTTCCCCGCACTTGAATTCTCCAAGTTGTTGACATCCCTCATTTTTGTGTTCTTCCATCAATGGAAATTTGCATGGGCCGTCAAGTCTATTAAAAAATTATATTTTTCAAACTTTTAGTAGCATGATTAGTGGGATCTTTTTCTCCCATTTATACAAAATTCCAAATTGCTTGGTTGTTGGGAAAAGCTTTTGATCTTCTTCCCACTCCCTACTATTTTCTCTTCCTCTTTCTCTTGGCATAGACTTACTTTTAATTTTTTATTTTAATAAATTTGTAAGTTTTAATCTCTCATATTATATTATAATATTTTTAATCTTTTATCTATAAAAATTAAAAAAAAATAACTCTTATTTAATATCTTGTTAGTTGACTATTAATTTTATAAATTGATTGTTAGTTCTATAAATTAACTATTAATTCTGTTATTTAACTATTAATTTAGTTAACTGATTATTAGCATTTAATTATAAAAAATATAAAATTTAAATTCAATTTTATTTATTAATTTTGTTAATAAAATGCTAATAATTAATTAACAAAATTAATAAAATATTATAATTTAACATTAAATAAAGATTATTTTTTTAATTTATATAAATAATGAGTTAAAAAAATTATAATATAAAATAAAAAGTTAAAAATTATAAATTTATTAAGATAAAATATTTAAAAATAAGTTTTTGCCGTTTCTCTTTCCATTTTTCTTGCATTGGGATCTTAACGATGACAGATGACCACCGTCCTCTCATCTCTTTTTTTAAAAGTTAGAAGAAAATAAATTTTTAATGGACTTAATGGGTCACGTGGACTTCTTTTATTAATAGAATGACAAAAATGATATGCCTTACCGAATTAAAGGTTTAGAGTGCAGAAAATTATTTAAAGACCAAAAAAGTGCCGTTATCAAAATAAGAGGCACAAAAAAAAAAAGTTTAAAAACCCAAACAGTGCATCAAGGCAAAGGTTAAGGACCCAAATTGAACATTAAACCTTTTTTTGTTTTATTGGCTGTGTTCACAACGAGATGTAATTTATTCCTCAATCAGATCATGAATAATTTTATTCTATTTTCTTTGTTTATTAGCTGCAGAGGTGAAATAAAATTATAGACAAAACTGATAAAAACTCAATTCTTTATTTATCAACTATGAAGTTAATTAGTCAAATATTAACAAAGAAAATATAGTTCCAATCCTATTTGCCATTTCTCATCATAAGACTCAATAAAAGTTAAGTCAAGGTCTTCTCAAAACAAAACAAAACAAAACAGAGAGGGGGTGGGGGAGAAGAACGACTCCAGTCTCAAGCCTACAGGGAAGTCAATTATTAACTTTCAATTAAAGGTGCTCTGAACAAACAAAGTGTTCTACTGTTGTCTTATAAAGGAGAACAAACAATACTTTTGTAGGGTCAACCCGACCCCATATAATTATACAAGGCCAAAACCCCAATTTGCTTTCCCGACATTATTTTTTCTGTGGAAAACAACTTAATAAATTTTTATTTGTAACTAATTAGGTTCTTAAACTGCTCTTTATCTAAGGAAGATATTGAACAATTTTCAAAAAATATTACCCAACCCTTTTATTCTGAAAAATACTTACTTTCTCATTATATCTTTAATTGTTTTACTTTAATTTTTTGATTTTTTAAACATTAATTTAATATAAAAATTTAACAAAACATATAAATAACAAATGAAAATTTTCTTTTCTTTAATTACATGTGGTTTTGTTTGAGTAGTTTAATTTAATATAAAAATTAAAATGTTATTTATATACTATATTAAATTTTCATTTAAAAAATATTTATTAAGAAAACTAAAATTGAATAGAGATAATGTTAAATTTTTCCTCACAATTTACTCTTTAAATTTGTTCTAGGACCTAGTAATGTGCCCATTAACTTCTGCAAGGGGCGTTGCTGTGGATTAATAAAGTTTAATAGGTGCTGGTGTGGGTTTAT